ATTGTCTGCCTCAAAAAGTGCATTCCAAATAATATGCATATAATACTGAAAATCCTTTATTTTTTCCACATTAGTATCAGTTTCCCCACCCCCCCTGAAAACCTGAGGGGGGAAATTCCCCCCTGGTTGAGAACCCCTGGTATAACACATGACACTTGGGGCTGTAGTGTGATAAAATCTATGGAGTATAAATGAAATATGCAGTGTTGCTCGTACAATAAATTTATTATCACATGCAATATCTGATATGGATTTGACAGCAAGTGTTCAAAGTTCAGGGCCTCTTACCTGAATGCAAAAGTGTCATTTTATGTTTTATGTCCATAGACTTGGTGCAGGGTATGTAAAAGGAGCTCAACGCCTCAGATTTTTTTTTCGAGGTTCGCGTTACCGTATTCTGCTTTTTAAATTATCATTGAATAAAAACAAAAATAATAATAAATAAATAAATGAATTTATATATATATATATATATATATATATATATATATATATATATATATATATATATATATATATATATATATATATATATATATATATATATATATATATATATATATATATATATATATATATATATATATATATATATATATATATATATATATATATATATATATATATATATATATGTGTGTGTGTGTGTGTGTGTGTGTGTGTGTGTGTGTGTGTAAATAAGCGCTTTAAAATACAACTTTTATTTCATTAGTATATCATTTATGTTCGCTAATGGTGGAAAAGAAAATGTTTGGTAACTCTTCCCCTTTTCTTTGTCTAGCTGAAAATTAATGTAATACGTCATTTTTTCCGGTCCGATCACATTAAATGTTTATGCGTATACATTTTGGTTCCCTGCGTACTATATCCTCTTCAGAATAATGTATAGACCCGCGTACAATTTTTATAGGGCCAAATGTCAAATATTAAAAATAAACACTTGTCCTACCGTTCTCTTGTGTCTTAATAATGATGAAGTTTATCACCAGGATATCTTTCGACAGACACTACAATCAATAGCAAAATTGTTTCGAATTTCTCTATTTCTTTAACTGATAGGGCCAAAAATCAAAGACTATCGCAACACTTTAGGTTTTCATGTTAGTCTTAGGTATTTTGGAAATCGTGATCCTTAAAAAAGATACAGGCACATCTCGAATCTGTTTTATCGTGGTAATGTTGCGGGGTCCAATATATGAATGACATATAATAACCTAAAAAGCGGTACACAATTGCTGTATTTCAGAATTCTAGACAATATAAGTAGGGTTACCAGCTACTAATTACGTACCCTTATTACAGATGTCTTCCTGGAACAATCCGGCCAACCAGGATGAATTCTCCCTTCCCTCCACCAACCCTTATGGGAACTACACGCTGGTGGACACTGTACCTAAGGAGATCCTTCACATGGTGGATCCTCACTGGTACCAGTTCCCCCCCATGAATCCCCTCTGGTATGGATTGATCATGTTCTTCATGATCGTCATGGGATGTCTTTCCGTGGCTGGCAACTTCGTCGTCGTCTGGGTGTTCATGAATACCAAATCTCTCCGCACTCCTGCTAACCTTCTTGTCGTTTCCCTGGCCTTCTCTGACTTCCTCATGATGTTCACCATGTTCCCACCCATGGTGATCACATGCTACTGGCGAACATGGGTACTTGGCGCCCTCTTCTGCGAGATATATGGTTTTTTGGGATCCCTCTTCGGATGTATATCCATCTGGAGCATGGTGTTTATCACCTTGGACCGCTACAATGTCATCGTCAAGGGCGTCGCTGGTGAGCCTCTCTCCTCCAAGGGAGCCACGCTCAGGATCCTCTTCGCTTGGCTATTCTCCTTTGCCTGGTGCCTTCCTCCCTTCTTCGGCTGGAATCGTTACGTACCTGAGGGTAACATGACTGCCTGTGGTACTGACTATCTGACCGAGACCATGCTCTCCCACAGCTATCTCTATGTGTACTCTTGCATTGTATACTTCTCCCCTCTCTTTATCACTATCTATTGCTATTTCTTCATTGTCAAGGCTGTTGCCGTCCACGAGAAAGGCATGCGTGACCAGGCCAAGAAGATGGGTGTCAAGTCCCTGAGGAATGAAGAATCCCAGAAGACTTCCGCCGAGTGCCGTCTGGCCAAGGTTGCCATGATGACAGTGGCCCTGTGGTTCATTGCCTGGACCCCATACCTCGTCATTAACTGGGCTGGCATGCTCAACAAGCCCTCTGTTTCTCCCATCTATACCATCTGGGGATCCGTGTTCGCTAAGGGTAACGCTGTGTACAACCCCGTTGTGTACGCCATCAGCCACCCTAGGTACCGAGCTGCCCTGGAGAAGAAGCTGCCCTGCCTTGCTTGCAAAAGTGACGATGATACAATCTCCGAAACTGCCTCTACCAGCACCACTGCTGTGCCGGAGAAAACCGAAAGTGCTTAGAACCACAGGTTATGGACTCGGGATATTGACTGACCTTCAATCGTTTACGGAATATGAATGAATAAAACGTGTTTTGATGATCTCTGAAATAATTCCCTTTATACTCCAATTATATCCCAATTTCCAATAAACCCAGCAATTTAATTGTCATTTATTTGTCTCCTTTTGTCTTGCTATGTCTTTTTTACTCAGCTAATTTAAAAGCAAACGAATAACATGATATGCGAGTGATAACTAAACGCTTTTTTAGTTTTGAAAACCTACAAACAAAATCCAGCGCCCCACTTTATTTAATGAGAGTTATTAATAAAATCAGAAACAGATGTGGAATTCTTAGTGGTCACTCATAAACTATTCCATCATATCAAAGGGAATTTCCAATGATCCTCACTACGAGACGGCACTTTTTATATTTTATTTGGCTAACACAAGACGATTTCATGTAGCACAGAGCGACCCCAGTAACCGTGGGGTTAATAAACTATCTCCACGAAACTTTAGCTTATACAGAGATAAATTTAAAAAGTTGTTTTCATCAGAAATTCTAATTTGTTCTCCATCTTTGTCACTTTGTTCCAGTTTTATAAATTTTCATCAATTAACGAATCAGTCAGCTGCCGTTGTTCGTTCCTCCCTATCTATACTTGTGTACATTGCATGCTACTACAGTATTTTAATCTTAAGATATGGCCATTATGCATTCTATATACGCTGGTTAAGTATTTACGTAATGTGTCGCAAAGATAAAAAGTTCAATAACATTTTTAAATTAACCCCTGCTTGTGAGTATCTATGATACTAAAATATCGAAGTTTCTACATCTACACTCTAAGAATACTTGTGACCGCGGTATGGCAACACTTACATTGTGCGCGACTGTGTGGTGGACTGGTGTCGTTGCTGTCCTCACTTGAGCACCAGCAACGTACACGGCTTCATGCTCCATAACGCTTCTCCACATCATGTGCCTCACCCTAGTAGCTCGCGACCACAGACAGCGGACTCGGATAACTTAACAGATCAAGACTTAAATGCGTCTCCACGTAAAGATTCGCATCACCTCGATGTACTAAAAGGTAAATAAATCCTTGCAAATATTTTTCTCGGTTAAATATGTAAACAATTATTTAAAAAATAAAACTGCTAAACATTTGAGAAGTAAGAGTTTTAAAGTAAATAATAAGACCTGCAACGATTCACTTCAATATTAACATCAAAATAAAAAGCGCATTACATTTATTCTTTTACGTATATATATATATATATATATATATATATATATATATATATATATATATATATATATATATATATATCATTAGCCCATAAAGTGCTCGGACTTCTACATATAATCAAAAACCTCACCCCGCCAGGACTCAACCCACGATCTTATGTGTGTAACAGGGGAACGTTATCTCTAGACCACCAGGACACTCAAAACAGTCTAGACTTTGTTATATAACGAAAAGAGAAAAGTGAATAACAGCGTGCAAATATCATTGATGTGTGCATTTAAATTGAAGAGAATACAAAAATAATTGGGCAGTAACTACAAAACCAAGACAGTAACATAATATTTGAAGGAAAAGACGGTATTTCAGTATTCTTAGATTAACATTTTCATACGTTAGCTAAGCTTAATGCTGCAAAGGATGATCCCTTAGATATCTGTATGGACGCGGCCACTTGGGTAATGAAAGGATTACATACATAATGGCCAAGTGTTGGTAAACATTTATATGGCTGGATATATAATAAATGTAAAATCCATTTTCTGCCTTTCTTTTACGCAAACTTAAATTGACAACTTGCAATTTGCGTCGCCTTGTTTATGTAAATATCGAGATGGCGTACTATATTTTGTAACTATTTAGACACTTAAAAACTGACCGAGGTTTTACCAACTTTATAAATTTTGTCAGTTTCTACAAGTAGCAAGAAGATGCTTGTTCATAGTTTTTTACCTAATTTATATGATACCATCGTTAGTGTGATACAATATACTGTACAGTAACTACAAAACACAGCTAAAGTCGAGCAACATCCCAGCCACTTTTAATATGAAGTTTCCTGAAACTTAAAAACAGCCCTGCTGTCGGACACCATTCGGATCAATATCATTACTACTGAAAGTGTTACAGCTACTGTCCATACACTGAGGTGGATGAATGAAATTATAACCGTAGTCCCTAGAGATATAAAATCTGGAAACATTGATAAACAGAAGAAGAGGGACCATAGTTCCTAATGTGTGTGTGTGGCATAATTACCAAACATACTGTGAGCGAAGTTATGCAGTCACAATATGCAGTGCCTGACCAAAGTAACTTCACTCATTGTGGCCTTTTCATTTTTCTCAGTAAGAGCTTTCAGCAATGGTCCTGACATCTGAGGAAAAAAGTAACGATACGTATATTCAAAATCTGCAGTGGCACAAATAAATGGCTGTATGCGTTAAATATTATAGTGTACTGATTAAAATATTTCGCATAACTTTTAATCTGCGTTGTGGTAAAAAAAAAAAAAGGCTTAGTTTTTTTCATTCTCCCCATTACTACATCTAGTACAGTATTGATCATTCTGGTCCACTTAGTGTCAAATATTAACAAGATGATACCCAGTACATAACACGGAACAAGACGTGCTGCGATAAAACTAACTATTTTGGATTACTCGAAACTTTTTCGCTTGATCATTTTCTGTTTTCGGAAAAAATCTATTTATATGCAATATTCGGGAGATAGTCTCCAGGAAGTGTGAAATATCAGTGTCTTATACAAGGGGTGTTCATATTAGCGGGACTAAGGTGTAGTACAGTCGCAATTACTTTAGACTCGCTCTTAGCGTGCCTGCCTGGACGCCCTCCATTGCCAGAAGTATCACCTTTAACCTTTTTAAATGAAACTTACAAAAATGAAGGCCTTGAAATATTATTTTAAGTCAGACACTTAGCTAGAGTGGATTGTAACGTCGAAACTCGAAATGTTAAAAATTTCCTTCCGAGAAAATAAAATTTGCCAGTATTTATTCCATTCGGGTTGCTGTATCATTATGGGGTTGATTAGTTTAGTTTAACAAATTTATTGGCAGAGCTTGTAGTACAGTTTGCCTATTCTGAGTAATTCAGTCAGGTCTTGACACTGAGGGTGGTATCACTTCTCACTGTCACGCAGGACAGAGGTTCACACACAAAGAAATACATCATATTCATTAACAACTATAAATGTATAGAGGTCAGATTCATATGGATAATGTCACTGTTCACTGCCATGCAGGACAGAGGTTCGTACACAAAGAGTTGCATCATATTCATTGACAGTACATATACATATATGTAAACACACACACACACACATATACATACATATACGTATATACATACACATATACATGTACACGTACATATACATGCGCACACGCACACATACATACATATGCGTCGGTCAGATTCATGTGGGTAATGTCACTTTTCACTGCCATACAGGACAGAGGTTCGTACACAAAGAATGCATCATATTCATTGACACTATATATAGGTCAGATTCATGTGGGTAATGCCACTGTTCACTGCCACGCAGGACAGAGGTTCGTACACAAAGAAGGAAATACATCACATTCACCAGCAGCATATATGGGTCAGTGGATCACATACATTGGAGTCATATTCTAATTGAAGATGAGACACACCGAGCAGGGTCCACACAAGGCTTCCCCTGTGGTCTTCAGGGAATATAGTTCTGCATATTTTATTTTACATAATACATAGTTTTATTTTAAAGTGAGCTAGAACTGCGAAGGTAGAAAAAAAGTTTTAGAATTTGGTGTGTAACGCGCTCCAAAAAGTATCTTTACGATTTTGTTAGACAATGACACAACCGACGAAAGATTTTGACAACCCTACCTCAACATGAGTCGCAGTATTAATTTTGAAATTCATGGGACCCTTCCGCAAAGATACTTTTTTGAGTGAGTACATGTTAGTGATGGTTACTGTTTTAGTACTGATAGAAAATAGATTTTGGTTGATCCTTGTGTTCGATGATGGCCAGCCCTACGAGTGAATTTGTTATAGACTCTGTTGCCAACAAAACAACCACAGATCCACACCCAATGTTAAACGAGCTCTGTGACAGTGTCAAGGAATAATCCAAGAAGATCGGACAACTCGCCAACTGCACTGGCTAACCATTACCCCGGAACACAATCCGCAAATCGATTAACATTCAGGGCCGGTATACACAAAACTTTTAAGTGCTACCGAACAGTTGTTAAGGCTGACATTTTCCTGTTAAGCACTAATAGTACACACACACAAAACTTTTAAGGGCCTTAATAATACTGTTAAGTTAAAAAACCTCGGGAGCACTTTTAAGTCCTGTAATAGTGGTCTGTTAGTTGGTTCCATGGCGAACCAACATCAGTGGCGGCAACGCATTTATCGGCAAAGGGAAAATATATTTAATGAATATAGTGTGTATATATTAAATATAATCTGAATATATTGTGTGTATTACCTCTTTATAGCAGAGATCTTCTTTCTTGACTTGGACAATACTGAGAACCAGCGTGTCTCACACTTTGCCACTGATCTCACCACACCAGGAAACACAGCATTGACTTTCACGGTGATTTCTAGCCACGCCCTCTTTGATTATTTTTGTTAACCACCCACCACATTTTTTCACATGAACATATTTATTTTTTCGATAGTTTTCTTGCTGTTTTAGATGATTCTGACATTTATCTTTGGGGAAAATCACCTTTTTTAGTTAGGCTAGGAGGTTAGGCGTAGCCTGTTAGGTCAGGTAACTTAACCTAACTAAAAAAAGTTAGGTTCACTTAGGTTAGGTTACCTGACCTAACAGGCCACGTCCTAACCTAACCTAACAAAAAAAAAGTGATTTTCCCCAAAGATAAATGTCAGAATCATCTAAAACAGCAAGAAAACTAGCGAAAAAAAATATTTTTCATGTGATGGGTGGATAACGAAAATTAACCCCCTTTTTTTGTCTTAATTATTCAGGAAAGCCTTCAAGCAGCCATTCAATATTAACTTTTTCTCTTCAATGGCATCCACCAATAATAAAGTCTGGACTGCTGTCCAGCTGGTTTTCCTTTTTCGTGGGGTTGAGTCTTCCATTTGCTCAATAACACGTTGATTTACAAACAGCACGGCAAGGAAAAGCCATCGATCACTATCCTTGGTTAATAAATCTTCCTTCAACCCGCATAGATTAGATTTTATTTCATTTTAATGATCAAAATGTATATAAATGTAAATATTAAAATTAATCTTCATAATTTTATTGAGGTTATTCCGCTATGAGACCATTTTATATGATGAACTCCTACTATCCTTAGCGCTTTTTAGCGGTACTTAACAAACAACTATTTGTGCGGTAAAAGTTTGCTAGTTAAGCTTTCTGTAGAACTTAAAATTTTACTGCTAGCTAACATTACTATTATGTCATTAGCATAAAAATTTTATGTAAACGAGCCCTGGTTCCCAATTACTGCTGGGTAGAGAGGCAAATGGCGCAAAGAAACTTGCTTTTTCACCTTGCCCGGTGATCGAACCAGAGTCCACTCGGTTGCGAGGTAAGCGTGCTGACCGTTACACCAGTCACAAAACGCACATATTGACACCCCCCCCCCGCCACCCACACACACCGATGGCAATATATGTGTTGTCACACATGATTCACATTAATTTTCAATGTACGTAAACACAGTTTTACTCTTGATAAAGCATGATGACACATACAAAGTAAGAAAGACGAATATAAAACAATATATGGCCTACACACTGACACGGTCACTTTCATAAAATAATCATCAGGTCTGGCAAGAATAGAAATTGTCCAGGCAGTGTTGATGAAACCGCTTACGGCATAGTATGGACTCCACGCTCATAACTCACCTCGGTCGATTGCTCACTCCGAAATAATTAAGGTAAAAATGTTAATTAATATTATAAGTGGCATTTAATAAGAATTATTATGTAAGCATATACTATGAATTTTTACTCAATAAAGAATATCAAACATTAATAGGGTGTATAAAAGTGGCCATAGTGAACATAAAACCAATATCACTTACCTTAGATATCAGCTTCGTAATGAGTAGCCATGATTGTTATTGTGTTGTACCATGATTATCAGTAACTTTTATTTACAACACTAGTTATCCATCTTGCAACTCGTTAATTCACTGTTTATAAATGTCTATCGCATTTGTAACACTTTTAATCCGTTTATAAATCTTATCGCAATTGTAACACTTTCAATCAGTTTATTGTCTATCGTATTTATAACACTTTTAATCCTTTTATAAATATCTATCGTATTTGCAAAACTATAAATCACTAAGAGGTTCTGACTGTCGCATTACCATACACCAACACAAGTCTTACTGAACGTTGTTCTGTCCGTTTCATTCCTGACAACTTTGCGCGGAAAACTGTCTCGTCTGGATTGTCATTCCTTTAGCAATCGTATCTAATGTTTTATTATTTCTTGTCCATATGTCACATGTGCATATTGATGTAATATTTTAGTATATATACCGAAGCAGTCAACATGAATTTGAGTAATGGCAAGTACAAACTGGACAATTTTGTAATTAAAAAGATTTGTAACCAGGTGAGAAGGTTGGGTCACTTTACCCTCTGATCTGACTACCGACCGTTGCGGTGCTTTTTAAAGATTAGTAGGGTCATTACCTAATACCTGACCACTGTGGACCTGATCTCACCCTCCTCTGTATATATATACCTTGTTTTGTACTTCTCCTTAGTCTGTACTCACCCCTGAAGATGTGAATTACACGAAAGCACTTGGGAACTTCGTGTTTTCTTTTTCCTTGTGGTTATCAGCATATATATATATATATATATATATATATATATATATATATATATATATATATATATATATATATATATATATATATATATTGCATTTGTTTTAAGAGTTTATGGTTCAATTTGAGTAGAAAAACTTTGCTAAACATTCGAACGCGGCGAGCCTTGATGGTTGTGAGACGAGTGAACTGGCAATTCAGCATTATCCCAATGGCCAGTAACGTTAAATAAGGAGCATTTTTCCGTCAACTTCCCCTTTTCATTCGTTTTTTCAAAGAGTTGTCAATTTTTCTAGTGCCTTGCTCAGACGAAACGTATCGTTTGCGCCAATTTCAGTGGCCAAGTAAACATCTATACTCAATAATGATGATACTTATATATAAAAAATATCAAACCACGTAAAATAAGTAAATTAATATATTTGTTTAGTAAAATACTTGTGTAATTTTTTATTGGTGTTGATATTCGTAAATACATCAGATACATTTGTTTACAGTGAGCGGTCTGTTTACAAATGAGGAACACGGAAAGATTGGCGCGCTAGTTCTCTGCATGTGTGACAGGGCGCCTCTCAGAAAAAATGACAAGTCTTTAAACAATCGATGCCAGGAAATGACGGAAAAATTGCTAGTGTGGCGCCGCCGTAGTTCTTTTTATATAATGCGCGCCAAATGCGGTACATTATAGCATTATGTAAAGCGTAGCATTTGTCAACTGAGAATTGCTCAAGTGGTCGTGTTTTGTATATGTACGTGATACTGTACAGCCTATATTATTCAGTAACTAATTAAATAAAACGAAGAACATACGGTAACTGATGTTTCTCCTGTACAGTAGATGAGCTGCCTGAACAAGAAGTGAAAGGACTGGACGGGTTACTCGATCGTCTGGGTGCTGGCAAATGGACTATGTACTGTTCTGTTGTCGTCGCCATATGTAAGTTATTTTTAAATCTTTTACTTATTTACCATAATGACTAACCGCCAAAATGCACATGTGACCAAGATATCTCGTACATTTTACATTCTTCACAGTCATTATATTTTACAGGATACAAGCTCTTCTGTTGTACGCTACATAAATCATTATCTAAATTTAAAAAATGTTGTTAGCCAGACGTCTGTTTTGTGCCATGTGTAACTCAAGATCTAAATTCTGCCATGTGCCCAGCTGAGTTAGATGTAAAGTTCTGGTGCCCTTATTATAGAATAGATATAAATTCACTAGAGTCGGTGCAGCGAAGAATGACAAAGATGATTCCGGGACTTAGAAACCTTCCACCTTCCATATCAGGATAGGTTAAAGAAACTTAACTTTCATTCCCTAGAAAGACGAAGAGTGCGGTGAGATATGATAGAAGTATTTAAGTGGGTGAAAAGAATCAATAAAGGGGATATAGATAAAGTTCTTATAATATCCGAGCAGGATAGGACTCGGAGCAACGGATTCAAGTTGGATAAGTTTAGGTTTAGGAGGGAGATAGGAAGAAACTGGTTCACAAATAGGGTGGTGGACGAGTGGAACAAGCTTAGCAACTTTGTAGTAAGTGCGGGAACTCTGGAAAGTTTCAAAAGGAGGCTAGATAGATTCATGGATGATAGAGAGTGGTAGTAACTCTCGACAGGAGCTGCCATGCACAGGCCAACCGGCCTATTGCAGACTCCTTATTTTCTTATGTTCTTATGTAGTGGGGATCACGTGAAAATTCTGTACCCCAGGTTATTTCGCTTTGAGATTAAACTGTTCTGACGTTAACCTACCATAACCAAATCTAACCTATCATAATATAACCTAGACTGCATTACTTTTTATACCAAACATAACCTAACCTACCTAACCAAATCTAACATAACATAACATAGCCTAATCTAATTTAACCCATCCCCTCTAGGTAGAATTAGGATAATTAAGCATCAAGGGGTGCTTAATCTGCATGTGACCCTCAAGGGGTAAAAAGCGTCTTTTGTTGTAATATGTGGTACGCAGGCACTTCTAACATGATCTCTTTACCAATGTGGGCGATAAAAACCGGAGTTAGATGATGACAAGGGGCGTGGGAAATCGTCTCTCGCTGCCTGAATTTTCAAACAATAATACTAAGAATATAATAAAGATTTAATAATAAATAATTATTATAAAGAGACTAAAATTTCAATATTTCATTACGTTATATAACTTTTAGAAAATACTAAGAAAAATTAATAAAAGAGTGAGAGATAGAAGAATTATCACCATTGTGATTCACTCGTGATAAAACAAGTTCTTTAATGCAATAACACTTGTAATTAGCTTAGTTCTTATTACTGTTGTCGAGTCGAGATTGACCTAAACCTAAACTTATCCACTTTAAATCCGTTGCTACAAGACCTATCCTGCTCGGATATTATAAAAACTTTATCTATATCTCCTTTATTGATTCCTTTCACCCACTTAAATACTTCTATCATATCTCCCCGCACTCTTCGTCTTTCTAGGGAATGCAAGTTAAGTTTTTTGAGAATGCACACTACAACTGCCACTACTACTTTTCTGTCAATCGGAATCGAGTTTGACGATCATCCAGCTTTGATAAAATGATATGAGTTATGAAGGATGTCACCTTCGTTGGTGAGCTCTGAGGTGACAAGAGGCCGATACGGGACCGGCAGGGTCGTTCACAGATGCTGCACATGTGGAGGGCTACATCTAGTGCGGGAGGGGCGGCGGTAGCGTCTATCCGGTGTTGGCGCTTGTCTGCCTCGGTTTGGAGTCGGGCTAACTCGAAAGTATTGACACCTCGTGTGGTGCTACTCCAAGCGTTACAGGGTGGATCGTCTCCCAAGTGATGGGGTAGATTTGACACTTTTTCAGGTTTGATTGTAAATTAGCTGCTTTGGCAGTCTGCTATTGTCCATGCGGGTAACATGGCCAGCCCAACGTAGTTGTTCATGGATAATGGCAGCCTCGATGCCCCTACAGTTGGAGTCAGCGAGAATACTGGCATTTGTTCTCTTGTCTTCCCAGTGAACTCGGAGGATGGAACTTAGACTTCGGTGGTGAAAGTTTTCGAGTGCCTTGAGGTGCCTCCTGTATGTGACCCATGTCTCACTGCAATATAGTAGAGTGGGGAGGACCACTGCTCGATATACGTGCAACTTTGTAGATAATTTTAGCTTCTTACAGCTTAAGACACGGGTACGGAGTCTGCCGAGGGCTTGAGATGCACATCTGATCCGTACACGCACATATGCGCGCGCGCGCGCGCTGCGCGCACGTAATAATATATATTTTTACCTGAATGGAATATATTGGGGAACTAAACTTCATGAGAATAGGAAATGCCACACGTGAGAACCCTTAAAGTATAATGAATATTGAAAATGGTGTCACTTTTCCCTCTCTTTATCGCTCTCCCTCTCTATCTCTTTATATGTGAGTAAATAATGGTGAGAGTGAATGAATGTGAGTGTGACATTGAGAGTGAGTGAAGGCTAGTAAATAACGGTAAGAGTGAGTTAATGTGGGTGCGGTCTATTTCGCTGATTATAAACCATTTGAACAGTACTGCCTCACAACCTGCCTCGACCTCTCCTCCGGCTCATGCTAAATACATACAAAAGCACTCGTCAGTTTTAAGTCTCAAATTACGTAAACATGATATAATGCACCTCATAGATAGATAGATAGATATTAATTAAAGATGCCATACAAGTTTACACTGATTCATCATGTACAGTATATAGATTATACAAGTATTCAATATACATAGTACAAGTATACAAATGTTGCACCGAGACAGTGCAAGTATACAAACATGGGTAAACAGTAGGTCGATTAGATAGATAGATAGATGTTTATTCCGTAAAATCGACCAAGAATGTATAGGTACATATTGTAACGCCTTAATGGGTATTGGTCGCTACACACAAGTTATCCGGATCGGGAGTCGTAAACAAATTTTTAAATAGTAAACGAAAAAAAAACGGTTGCGAAATAATTTAATCCATGCCAAGTGTACACAAGCGTGTGGAGAGGACACATGTTCGAAAACAAAAACACTCCTAGAATATGTACACAGGCAACTCGAATTAACGAACATAAGCACTTGGCTACACACACACACACACACACCATCATCATGACCTCATCTGATAGTTTGGGAGTAAGCTACTACATCATCGTCACCCTCTCCTGCTCCCACCTGAGATCCCTCGTCTGTGGAATGCTGTTCGACACTAGCTGCATCCAGTCTATACAACCACGTAGTGATCGCTATGAGACCAGCCTCATTTAAACCCTTGTGAAAATCATCAACAACTCATAGATAACCTGTGTGTTCACTCCTTGCTAGAACTGCGCTGAAACTCCATTTTAAATGACTCTCTCCCCCTGTATTTGTTAATAAACTTTTATTATTATTATTATTATTATTACTATTATTATTATTATTATTATTATTATTATTATTACTATTATTATTATTATTATTACCATTATCGCACACACACACACACACCTCATATATTTTTCTACAAAGAAAAAATAGAAACCGGAATATTTACAGCAATGACTAATATAGACCACAACAGCTGAAGCGTGTGTACAGCTGTTGGTGGTATCTCCTGCCCACTCACCCGACCCACTCACTCTTGTCCCACCCACTCAACTCACTTACTATCTCTATGGTAGTATCAACTCAATCGCGGACGACGACCCTACTCCTAATACACATTATGCAAGGCTGACTTTTTAGTACCCTACCTAGAGAGGGGGGACGGGGGTCTAGGTTAGGTTTAGTTAAGTTAGGCTTGGTTAGATATGGTTGTGTTATGCTAAGTTAGGTTAGGTTAGATTAGATTTGGTTTAATTAGGTTAGGTTAGATTAGATTTCGTTTAATTGGGTTTGGTTAGATTTCGTTAAGTTAGTCTAGATTAGATTAAGCTAGGTGAGGTTAGATTAGGTTAACTTAGTTTAGGTTAATTTAGATTAGGTGAGTTGAGGTTAACGTGATTCAGTCAAAAGGTGAATTAAGCTTAGGTTATGGCAGTTTGTGAGTGGATAAGTCCTTGTTGCTCTCAATAGGTTGGCTCCCTGAGGACACGGCCACATTGACACTTTTGTTTCTTTGATTTCTTTATTTTTTTTTCTTTTCTACAAGCAATAGGGTAAGTATCCCCTCATCTTTTCTTTGGATATATATGAGACAACAAAACTACTTGTAGATGGTGTCGGGTGCAAAGTGAACACGACACCACTGGACACTAAACCTTTAACTCAAATTTACACCTGTATCTGCTACTCCTCAGGGTATGGCTTCCTGTCTTTCCAAGCTATGGCCGGAGCCTTCATGGCGCCTCACGTAAACCATACCTGCATGGCCACCTCTGGCGTCCACCCTCTGTCTCCTGACCTCCCTCACGATCTCGGTCTTCCATCATCTACCTCTGGTGCCCTGACAGTCAACGAGTTTCCAGCTGCTAACATCACGGGCTTAGTACACGAGGCCATAGATGTTGTTGCAGTGTAAGTATACGGTTTTTTTCTATTTTTTTGTGTGTGTAGATATCAAGTGTTAAATGACTTTCTCTCGCCCTTGAGACTGAGAAGCGAGTACTGTACACTCGGCACAAAAAGTTCTCGAGCACTCTAAGCGTCAAACAATCTGACTAAACGAACGAGAATTCTTACCATTGCTCTGTGAGGAAGCTTTTGGGGAGGTTAACTTACTTCTTTTTACCCGCAAATACGATACAGACGAGCAACATATATTATTACATGTTGAGAGTCAGTTCACAACCAGGCATACCAACCGTTCTCAGATGAGCCATAGGCCACATTGAGTCACAGGAATGAGTCTCCAAACTGACTTACCCGGACTGTTGTATCTCGTTTGGGTTCGATGCGGACTTCTTAATAGCGAATAATTTCAATAACAGATTCTTCTCAATAATGGACAGGGCTTCGCGAGGGTTGACTGTACCCATTACGTTATTGATAAGTCCGTTATTGGGAGAGTTTACTGTATTATTTTTTATACAAGCAGGTGTCATGGCGTAAGTTGAGCTAGATATAAAGGCTTTTATCATCTCTGTTTGCCACGTGTGTCTAGTGTACAGTATGTTTGGCAAGTCCGTTTGTTTGTCGCCTTCTTGGCACTGTTGGCAAGTATTGGACACACGTGCGCTACACCTTTAGTGCTTACGAAAATTCCTTACGAGCGTTTATTTTTCAACTCAATTTATATCATTTACTCTGTACTTTTGCGGTATTTTTCCTTTATTATTTGTAAAATGATTATTATAAATACAGCATTGGTTTATTCTTATTATGATTGTTGTTTTTGGTGATATGATGTTCTGTTTTTGATGATAATTTTGTGTATTTCCATAGAGATACCTGTAGCTATTACGTAAACACTTCGGCTGGGGTGATGGAAGAATCCTGTACACAATGGAACTTCGACAACTCCACCTTCACCACGACCGTTACTTCTGAGGTACTATACAAACCACGACATCACGCCCAATACAATCTCTTCATTATAAAGTACTACTATTATAAACGGCATAATATATAAAACCTGTATCCTATATGTGATTTACACCTGATATACTGTTTACTATTAGAGTTTCACAGGGAACGATTGCATTAATAGTGTTAAATTTTGGCACAGATGGAGCTAGTGTGTGGGAAGTCGGTGTTGGCGCCTTTATACCAGAGTGTTTATATGTTTGGCAGTGTTATTGGGTCGCCCGTTGGTGGTCATCTGTCAGACAAGTATGGGCGGCTTACACTGCGTTTTGATGCTTCGTACTTAAGGCTCCTCGTTTTCTTCTTTCTAACTTCATTATTTACTTTCTCTTCATGACCTTGTGTGAGACTCGGAGTCCTTGTTCTTGTCTCTTTGTCCCTCACTGTAGATCTCTTACTGTAGGTCCTTTACTGTAGGTCCCTTCCTGTAGGTCCCTTACTGTAGGTCCCTTACTGTAGATCTCTTACTGTAGGTCCTTTACTGTAGGTCCCTTACTGTAGGTCCCTTACTGTAGGTCCCTTACTGTAGATCTCTTACTGTAGGTCCTTTACTGTAGGTCCTTCACGGTAGGTCCCTTACTGTAGGTCCCTTATTGTAGGTCCCTTACTGTAGGTCCTTCACGGTAGGTCCCTTACTGTAGGTCCTTTACTGTAGGTCCCTTATTGTAGGTCCCTTATTGTAGGTCCCTTACTGTAGGTCCTTTACTGTAGGTCCTTCACTGTAGGTCCCTTACTGTAGGTCCTTCACTGTAGGTCCCTTACTGTAGGTCCCTTACTGTAGGTCCTTCACTGTAGGTCCCTTACTGTAGGTCCCTTACTGTAGGTCCTTCACTGTAGGTCCCTTACTGTAGGTCCTTCACTGTAGGTCCCTTACTGTAGGTCTCTCACTGCAGGTCCCTTACTGTAGGTCCTTCACTGTAGGTCCCTTACTGTAGGTCCCTCACTGTAGGTCCCTCATTGTAGGCCCCTCACTTACTGCAGTTCCTTCACTGTAGGGCCCTCACTTACTGTAGTATAGTACTGTCTACTTAGTAATTATTCTATTCATTCTAATTGACGCTGATGATTCTACTCTTCACTCTTCCTCACATTTTCCCCTTCCTCGTAACTCTCAAACTAGATCTGTTTCTAGAACTGATATCATTACTTCTATCAACGCGGATCTGTGCAGCATCTCTGAATGGGGAGGTACAAACTTGGTTAAGTTCAATAGTAACAAAACTCAATATTTACCAATTACACTTTGTAAATTAGACGATCTCCCACCAATTACATTTCAGGACGCTATCATCCTCCCAAATTCTGAAATAAATATGTTAGGCCTCACCATTTCCTCCAATATGTCCTGGAAATCACACATCCTTAGTATAAAAAAAGCTGCCTCCCGAAAGTTGGGAATGCTGTACAGATGCCGCAGCTACTTCACTCCTGAGCAGTTGCTCCAAGTATATAAGGGATTCATTACTCCTAACTTGGGGTACTGCTCTCATATCTGGGGTGGCTCTTCTTCTCTCCAACTATTAGATAGGGTGGAATCAAAGGCATTTCGTCTTATTAACTCTCCTCCTTTAGTCGACAATCTATCTCCCCTTTCTCTTCGCCGCAATGTTGCTTCACTCTCTCTCTTTTACAGGTACTTTAACGGGCAATGTTCAGTGGATTTGGCATCCTGTGTACCGCCGGCAAGGCCGTGGGTTCGTAACACACGTCTTGCCCGCGGTGCCCACCATTTCTCTGTGGATGGTCGGTCACACGAGAATAACCCGTTATAGTACCTCCTTCTTTCCTCACACAGCCAAACTGTGGAATGCTCTGCCTTCTTCTGTGTTTCCATGCTCTTACAATCTGTCTCACTTTAAAAAGCTGGTTTTCCGGCATCTTCGTGGTGTAGATTAATACAGTATAACCTTTTTTTCTATATTTTCAATTTCTTTCCGTTCTTTTTTTTTCGCCCCCCAGGCTCCGTTGTGGGTCGTTTGACCTGTGCCCGGGTGGGCTAATTCCCGTAAAAAAAAATATTACTATATTTTTCTTTCACCAATATTTCCCCAAATCTATTATTTCCCTTACTAAAATTTCCCTAACTAACGGTCCCCTTACTAAAATTTTCCTAACTAATATTTCCCCTTATTAACATTTCGCCCACCCTCTCTCCTCCCACATCAACATTACTCTCACAGCCACACTTCGCCTCCAGGTACGGGCGTGGGTGGCTGTTCAAGATGGCTGTTGTGATATACGCCCTCATCGCCACAGGTTTAAGCTGGGCTCCCAACATTAGCTCAGTGTTGACGGCGAGATTTTTCCTGGGAGCGATGCATATGATAAGCTTGCAGGCTGGCTTTGTGCTCGGTCAGTCACATTATAATATTTTCCTGTCCATAATTATCGTTTTATTATTATTATTATTATTATTATTGTGATTTTTGTTAATGTTGTTGATTATTATTAATGCTATTATTACTATTATTACATTACTGCTTTTTATATTGTCTATTCTTCTACTTATTATTATTACTATTATCATTATTATTATAATTATTATTATTATTATAATTATAATTATTATTATTAAAATTATTGTTATTATTATTGTAATTATTATTATTATCATTAATATTATTATTATTATTATTATTATTATTATTTTTATCATAGTAACAGCTGGGAACAGCATGGTTACTATAAGTGGATTAAATTAATGGTGACAACAGAGATCATATGTAGTGTTCTTAAGGGTATCATTGTAGACATTACATAATCATTTTAAATGTACCGTACACCGCTCCAGTCTCCCGTTTCCTCTCCGTGTCGTGGGAAGCAGGACTGGCAGGAAGTGTGTGGGAGGAAAGGTATTGGCTATGCATTGAAATTTATGTACCAATACTTAATGTTATCGTCAATAGTAGTAGTTGCAGTAAAAATTGGTAAAGTAATAATTATAATAGTTGAAGTAGTAGTAGTAGGATTGTAAGGGCGGAGGCACAAGCTGCCACCATTGTAAGGGCGGCGACTCTACTACGACTACTGAACCACCGAGGCCACCCTTAAATTCTAATCTCATACTTCTCTCTGTCTCATTTCCTTCAATAGATTCTGTCTACATATTTCAGTTCATGGTTACTACATAACCTCAGTTCTTTTGGTAGCATGGCGAGGGTTAGGCACATGGGTACTGTAATTCTGGTATCAAGGTCACTTGGACACAACACAGTAAAGGCATACCGAGATGAAATGAATACCCCTAATATACTCTAAAAACTGGTTTATTAATATGAAATCAAAGTAGGGAAAAAGATGTCATTAACATACAACTCCAAGGTTCAGACCCCTTGGCTTTACTCCACTTAGACACTGTACTCTTACTTCTCACCACCTTTCTGGTGTTACATTACATTACATACAGTTATAAGACAAACTTACATATGATACCTTCACAGCACTGTTGTTAGTACATATGAGATGCACTCACAACACACCACACGTTATTGCTGATACCAAGTACATGGGTTCATTACCCAACATGGGATAATTATATTCCAGATAATTATCCCCAATCATATACAACAAACACTGCGAACCATATAACTTCCAGGAGTGTTCCAGGGTAGAAAACTGGCGTCTCCAACTAACGACTGCTGTTATGGTCCGGTGTCAGTAGTCTGACACGTGGTGACAGTCTGGGGTCCAGCCCCACGATGCTGACTGGGGCAGTTTAATCATGCCGAATCAGCGACATCGTCCACTACAGCTAACTGTTAGGTATCCACTGACTCCAGGCAGTCGGTGGGGTGTTCAAATAACCGACACACTGGATCTGAGACAAATGTAGAAGTGTCACAGGAAGCATGATGATGACTCAATCACAACAAATCTTTCGTCTCGTAATGTCAGACGACATTTACGTTACTATTAATTCTTACACTGAGTAAATGACACTTACACTGTTATAACATGAACACTGATACTCACAAAATTGATTAAGTCAAACTGAATGGTTATATCGGCGGGGAACACACGCTTACATACCTGAGACAAATGTAGAAGCGTTACGTAAAAGGCTGTTCCTCTTTCCCACTCAGGGTTCAATTTTTCAATTTCAATTGTTTATTCCTTGATAGAGGAAGTGGGATCCTAGTGCTATCACTAGGTACCCCTGTACAATAACACCAAAAGCATCTGGCAAGTGTGACAAGTATATACAGTATAAATATTATAAAGGGGCATACTAAAGCCTAAGGAAGGAAGGATATTCCTTTAACACATAATCAATGTTATTTACATAGTATTTGGCCAGTATGGGGAGGATCATCGTGTCTCCGTCAGGGGGTCGTGGAGTGGTGGTCCAGCAGGCGTCACGGAAGCGTTGTGTGTGGGGACATCTTAGGAGGTAGTGGATAAGGGTGCGGCTGTTGGGTCTTCTGCTTAATGCACAAGAGCATTGCTCAGGGGATGCGGGGATACCAATCTCCCAAGCAAAGTCATACCCAATGATGATATGGGCAGCAATCACGTCCCCTTTCCGCGACCCTTTCCCACAGACACCACTCAGGGTTTTATGCCCGTGATTTGCCAGAGGTGGCTACTCACGCAATGACAAAAATTACTTACAAACCAACTGTTACACATTCAAAGATGACCCTCAGTTGACATGGGTCTGGCGAATTACTTAAGTTGATTTACATAAACTAATTCAAGATTGAGCTTGCCAGGAGAAAGTGGAATATATGTATTGACAACTGAGTACAAAAGGCGGGACTTACGGAGAGGGATCCTTGGTGTATTACGCGTTTCTTCCTAGGTATGTTTTGCAGACGTGAAGTATAATAAGAATCAACAGGTTTGACATAGACCAGCAGTCAATGTGACCATGACAGGATGAACCTTAGCTTATCAACAATTAAATTTGATATTTTCTGTAATTTTCGGGTGCTAAGGCCATTGCTAACTGAAATACTCATGGATGAGATGAACACCTGAATATTTTTATTTTTTTTATTTCTGTAAAATTTTCGTTGGAATTCACACTAATTCCTTCATAGCAAGCATAAACATCCCGTACATACAAATAACGCACACTCACCAAAAACTTTTCGAAAATAAGCATTATGCAATCTGAAAAATTAACGAAGAATCTAAAACCATTCCGAGATGACAAGCCCCATTCTGCTCAATCTCACATCCACCATGCCCATGTGCTCGAGACGTTTTTGGTGAGTGTGTACATAGACAACACAGACATACAATGGTAAATAGTAAGTCGATTCAGCCAAGGATAACCCAGTAAAACCAGTTTGTGTAATGTAGAAATGACTGGGAGATAAACAATAAATTCGGGGAAAGATGAACAGAGTTGAATCATATACTGTAACACAGAGAACAGCGTGATAATGAAGATGTTCGCAGATAAATGGTTTAGTACTTCTTGATGAATTAATGCTACTCCACGTCACGATGGCTTGGTATAATTGACGGGCCATCTTGTTGGAGGGAGCTTTTGGCGGTTCGAGTTAGTTACAGTATATTATGTTGAATATAGGAGTACATTATATCCACCTTCTCATTGGTCACATGGTTGTCATATAAGTCACTATGACACGTATAGGTTAGAAACATTTATATATAATCTTTTATATGTGCCAAAACATTTTCCATATATCTACACTCTCCACAGACATCCCATAATAATTAACACGCACGGAATTTCACTTTAATTTTGACATTTTTAAAATTACTAGTTGTAAATACATGATTGATGATGTTACAGTGATGGAAAGTTGCTCGAGCCACCTACGTCCAGTGTTGGGAATCATGGTGGCTTTGCCGTGGGCGCTGGGCATTGCGCTTTACGGAGTCTTCGGTTACTTTGTGAGGGAGTGGCGGAACCTACAGTTGCTCATCTCCCTCCCCGGCATCCTGATATTTCCTGCCATTTGGTAATTATCGTCTGTTAACTTTATAATGTTCTTGACCGTTATGGGACAAAACATAAAAAATACTGTATATAAATACTTTGTAACAACAATGAACACAATATGATTAATGCTGTACCATTCTCGTTATTATTAGAGTAACAAGCCATCTCATAACACAAGCGACGCGTTTTGTTTACTGAGAGAATAAAATGACTGTTTACTTCACTTAAATTATCCAGTAACTACATACTTCAATATCTTAGCATTATCGTCGTTCCCGAGATAAACGTTGGAAGCCACTGAATTGTCTGAGTTTTGTATAAGATTCGTTCATGTACAGTCACTCAAAAAACTATCTACACAAAATTGTGTTAAGAAAATATGACACAACTGACGAAGGATTTTAGCAACCCTCGAAGAAAACAGTAGTCGCAGTGTTCATTCTGAAGTTTATCGATCACTTTTTTGAGTGACTGTACAGACGTAAATATCATGATAATACGGGACCTTATGATGACCCAAGAAATGTATAGCCTATACAGTGTGAAGGCTGTTGATGGGATGAGAAATTCCTCAACAGAAAATGACCTCTGGAAATGAGTTGTGCTTTAAGGTAATGTACAGTAGATCATCACACAAAAAATAAACTCAAGCCAAATACGAAGCTTTACACTGTAGAAAATTATGTTGCATTGTTCTGCTCACAGTTTATGGTACTCCGAATGGTAGAGATGCTTACGTAGTTCACATCTGTACACACACAAACACTGTTGATTATCTCACAACAGAAGCTCAATCAGTGCCCCTTCACCAAATACATCATAGATACATTCTCCCATCTACAGGTACAGTCCCCTTCACTAGTGCATTTACAGGGGCTCATCATCAGGTTTTGTGCAGTGTGGCAGCCAAAGTTTGTTTACATTCGACAGAAGGAAACTCGCAATAGTAAACATATTCAATGCAATGATTTGTAAAATGATTAAATGACGAGTCCCTGTAAACGCACTAGTGACGGGGACTGTACATATCCTCCAACACATTGGCAACTTTCCCAATATTTTCATCACCTTAGAAACTTAATCAGAATCTATTAGTACATGACAGGAATCTTTAACTTGATAATAATATTTACTTCTTTCCAGTCTATATTGGCTAACGGGTGACCTTTATCTCTTTTGGTTATGACGTTATAACTGGACGTGTTCCCCTATCTGCCCAACTTGGGATTATTTGATTCTGGTCTTTATTTACTTTGCCAAAAAAGTACAGATACAGAATGGAAAATAACAACAACACTGGCATGGCTAAACTAAGTATAGACCAGTCAGGCTACATATAATTACAATGTCTTTATACATGCTCAAGTGTCTATCTGCAATATATATACATCCTGAAGTGTATACCCACAGTGTTTATATACATTCTGTACTGTGTAATTGCTTTGTCTATATACATACTGAACTCTATTCCTGCATTGTCTATATACATAATGAACTGTATAAAACCTGCAATATCTATAATTCTATATGCATGCTGAACTATATATATGTATATTGTCTATAAACATACTAAATCATTTGTGAACATGCATGACGATGTTACTGAATTAATATCATTATTATTGAGGTTCCTGGATGAATCACCGCGATGGTTGATAGTGAAGGGATACCACGACCAAGCCCGCACCGTCCTGGCCAGGGCTGCCAGATGGAAAGGCGAATCTCTCCCTTCTGCTCTGGTTCTCGAAAAGATTATGAGTGATCTCTACGTGCAGGTCAGTTGTCCACATAAACAGAATTGTAAACCTGCTCTCGTGAGTGATGTAATTTACTTTAAAATATAGAAATCAGTCTATTTTATCGGGACACATGAACCTTAGACACCCCAGCTTATTTCACCTGAAAATTAATCACCCTAAGAATGACCTAACTTAACCTAATCTAAAGTCACTGTATACTTAGATTAACTACATGAAGGGTTGAGGAAGATAAGATCACGTGATCACTGGCAGCCATTTTGTTTCAATCTACACCCAGTGAACCGGCATGATTCTGTCGCTTATCACCTGGTCATTGCTGATTTTGTTTTCCATTTACACAATGTAAATGTATTGTATATTTGTACAGAAAATTATAGTCAAAATTCGAAATGCACAGTTCCCAATATATTCGCTTTTACTAGATTAAGAAAAATACAATTTGAGTATAAGGAGCATTTAACTATAATACCAAGCCATTCTGGGTGTGAGTGAGCGAAGATAACCATACAAATTATTTTATTTACTTACTGGCAGTCAAGGAACAGTACAGTGCTCCGTCCACGGCTCAGTTGAAACAAGATGGCGTCCCTGTATACAGGGACTAATCCAACCTAACCTAACCCTCCCAGGTAGCGTTAAGAGATATAGGTTAAGTGAAATAAGCTGGTGGCTAATCTTAAAATGATCCAAAAGATAAAAAGAACCTTCTGACTCAGTCATAGAGTGAGTGAGTACAATGTGTATGAAAAGTAAACTGAGATAAATAGAAAAGTCTGTCGTTATACTCTCCCACGTGAAGCAACAACGACAGTATAACCTTATAGGGGGACACTGCCCCTTAAAGGGTTAAGGCGACTGCAGTCTTGTAGAGAGAGACTCAACTCACATCAGTACTGTGGCTATCTAGCAGTTAGCACACTGAACGAGGCACAGTGTGTACTGGTAACAGCCTTGAAAGGTTTGAAACAAGTTCCTTGTATCTTGGGGATAAATCAGCACCATTGTCGGTATGTAAGGAGGACGACAGTCTACCTCCCAGTCTTGTAAGGAGACAGTCTGGCATTATATTAATTACATAACAAAATTAATATCACGGCAATACATCCATTTGTGAAGGTAAAATCTGAGAGTGTATATAATAGTTAATTTGACAGCAATCGAATGTTAAGCCCTGTGGTGAGTTTATCATTAAAGTGTTCATCATCATTCCTGTACTGGTATTGTTAGAACAGAAATATCCAGGTTTACGGTACTTGATGTTTGATCTGCTCCTACTTATAATTAAATAAAAGCAAGTATTTCTTGCCTTTGCGTTAACATTACGACAAAGATACTGTTTAAGGCTTCAACATCCTATATACTGAACTCTATAATTTATGCTTCGTTAACACAGATAAGCATTTTACATTTGTTGACAGTGAAGGTCTCCTCTTCATGTTTGCTTCAGTATATCATGACATTATAAATTTGTTCTCAAGTTCTATTCTCTATAATGCCAGTTTGTCATCCACGCTACAGGAGAAAACTGATTATGCAAGTGACTGTTACGATGAGTGTTGTGAGGAGTGTGTGTTCCTATCGTTTCGCGTGTTATTACGTGACCCCGAACAGCCGAGGAAGTGAGGTTGAATTTTTTTAATAAACTTGAGGGTTTTTTATGGATAACAATGCACTTTTTTATTGTCATTAAGATTTCATATTCATCCACAAACGCTTGATATCTGTTAGCGAACTTCAAGAACATGAGCAGAGGACACAGTCATCATCCAGGCATCACCACCAGTAAGTTTATACAACAAGGTATTTTTTAATAAGGTAATCACCTCACCTTGGATAGAATTTAGTTAATTAGTAGAAACATTATAAAAGGTATAATGAGATAATCTTACCTTGAACACCCCCATTTACATACATTAATATAGGGCAGTATTATACCATAGTGCTGAGAGCCATTGTTAGACAGACCACAATATTATTAATTTCAGAAATCTATAATTTGCCGTCATTCTGTCTAATATTTCACCAGTTAAGATCCTACGATTCAGTCTGACAAACACCTTCCTGGCATCTATGAGAGCCTGCATGGGGAAATGATACTTTATTATCTTGTAGCTTAATAACTTTTAGAAGTATACACCCCAGCACTATGACCCAGAGTATAATCTTCCACGTGGGCGGGGGGCAGGTAGCATATATTAAAAGAAAAAGACAGTTACCTTGTGGTAAGCTAGACAGTATGCATTGCTGCATCTGTCCTCCCAGATGGACCTCCTTAAAAAAGAAAGTTACGCACACAGTATGTCAGTTTGTCAGCAATATGTCATTTTTTTCCAATTGGTAAATTCAATGGACATTGTTAACGGTGTACATGGATAAGACACAGACTTCCACTACCACAAACCACGTGGTTAGGACCTGTTAACCATGTACACCGTGTCACGTGAACATGTCCACAGTCGGAGGAGGAAGATGAGGCCGCCAGCAGGTGGTCAGTGAAGCACCGTCTACAACAGTGGTTGCTGAAGAACGTCTTCATAATCGTCAGGTGAACTTACCCATCATCCTTAATCGCTCTTAACAAATTTGAAATTAACAAACCAAGAAACTTTTTCATGAAAATTCATTTTTAATTTACTAGTGTGATTGCTTGTGAGTACAAGTAATTGACTGACCTTTGGGCTGTTGTGGCACTCTTGACGGCGTCCAACTAAATCATTCTGTCCCTTGTCAAGAATAACTCGCTTTTCTTTTTTCCCGTGAGTGTTGCAATTCGTATACTGTAACTTACAGTACTAATAATGTACCTTAATGTTTCCTAACAACATTAAGTAACTATGACCACACACAGTGACGCTGACCTGCATATCTATGTTACTCTACATTAGGAAAATTGTTGTAAGTAACTCAAGCTTTATCAGAAAAAATCACACGACACAGTTTGATTTTGTCACGCTACACAATGTCTACTACCTACAGGGGGAGTAGTGTGTGTTGCCTATCTGCCATCACATACCAGCTAAAAAGACATCTATCTCGTTTAATATTAAATTGTTGATGACTAGTGTAGAGTATACACTAACCTTGACAACGCGCTTAAAGACCTTAGGTGCGAGAGGACAGTGCAGTAATACATTATAACATCAACATTGACTTGCTGTGCCGCGTCTATTGACCCTTATCACACGCAATACTATAGAGCATAATGATCCCACCACCAATGGTATAAATTTGTTCCACAGGATAACACATTGTTATGTTTACCCTTATATGTGTAATGTGCAGCTAACAGTTCCATACAGCGCCACACTGAAGCCGCCAAAACGGAAGTTCTCTTGTTGAATCAATTTTTTGTATTATATAAACGGATGGGTGATTCCTCTCCACAATACATGTATGAAAGTATTTCTTTAAGTTACTGTAGAAGAAAACGGCAAAATAAAATCAAACATTGCACACTCAAGAAAAACAGCCAGGGACAGTGATTAAATTTTGGACAAAGGTCAAGATAACAGCGACTTTGGTCAAGATCTCGGAGAAAAATCACACCGGCACCACTAAGATCACTCTGCGTACAATTATAACTCACTCAGTAACACCAGTCCACCTCATAACTCACTCAGTAACACCAGTCCACCTCATAACTCACCCAGTAACACCAGTCCACCTCATAACTCACCCAGTAACACCAGTCCACCTCATAACTCACCCAGTAACACCAGTCCACCTCATAACTCACCCAGTAACACCAGTCCACCTTATAACTCACTCAGCAACACCAGTCCACCTCATAACTCACTCAGTAACACCAGTCCACCTCATAACTCACTCAGCAACACCAGTCCACCTCATAACTCACTCGGTAACACCAGTCCACCTCATAACTCACTCAGCAACACCAGTCCACCTCATAACTCACTTAGCAACATCAGTCCACCTCAGCAAATTGAATAATTATCTGACTAATTACATATCACTGAAATTTTCCTAAATATATATAATGATTTGACTGTGGTAGAACACCCCCATTCTGTAGCAGTTTTATCCCTGCAGAACCCGACACCTGCGGACCATGACTCTCACCTTGTGCTTGGACTTCTTCACGGTTTCTCTTGTTTACTACGGGCTGGCTTTGGGTGCCGTCAACTTGAGTGTCAACCCTTACTTCTACATGTTGCTTAGTGGGATGATGGAGATACCGCCTTACCTGTTGATGGGTCCTCTGTTAGCCCGCCTGGGACGCAAGGCTCCAGCCATCGTTTCCTTCCTTATTACCGGCCTCGTCCTGCTCGGCTTGCCCTTCATCCCACCTGGTACTGTAGTCTGTCTGTCTGTTTATCCAGCATACTTACTCTACATCACTCTAAATAGGACGGTAATAAACTGTCATAACAATCGCAGGGTGTAGTGTGTGTAAGCTCGTCATTCCAATTTTAGAAATATACACCCAAGATAAAGTTTTGAATTAATTTTGAGTGAGTGAAGTGTATATAGTATAAGGAAATATTAAAAAAAATCATTACTGAATCATTTATCAGGAAAATTGAACCTCAGTGAGACTCAGACGCCATCTCCCGGCAGATATGATATGGGTTAAGATGACGTTGGCCTTGACGGGAAAGTTCTTCATCACTGCCGTGTTCGAGGAGCTCTTCTTGTACTCTTCTGAGATCTTCCCTACGGAGGTGCGGAACCAGGGGCTTGGATTGGGTCTCCTCGCCTCCCGCCTCGGTTCCATCGTCAGCCCCTTCATCAATGACGTTCTGGTGATACACAAACCAAAGTTGTTTTTGACGAGTTTATATTTTATACTTCAAATATGTTAATGAACTAAACCACATTCAAGACTGGTAAGATAAGGAAGTAAAGGATTGTTTTTTTTTTGGGGGGGGGATTGTTTCTTTTGATAACCTGAATAATTTCAGTGAAAATGAACAAGGTGACGAGAACTTGTGATTTGAAAGACTTAATTAGATCTTGGGTAAATAGGTTGATTGTGTGCACTTCAGGCTCCCGTGGTCCCATGGTCGACGTATGTGGTGTTTGCCTCGCTGTCTCTTGGAGCCAGCGCCGCCACCTGTTTGCTGCCGGAAACCAAAGGCTCCAAGATGCCGGATCTAGTGTCCAGTATGGAGAACCAAACTACTGTTTCAGTCCCCAGGTACGTAGCCCCCCCCCCCCTTCAATAGTCTCTCCCTCTCTCATGGCCTACAATTTTTCAACATTACTTTAATGCCTTTACTCAAATTTAAACTATACGCTTTATTCAAGCACTATTACTGCATATTACAAGAACACACACTTCTGTTTTTATATATTCCCACTTAGAAAAATGTTCTGCTCCTCCAGTTTTATACCCCGAAATAATATGAAGCTTTCCGCTGATTTAATATCATTAGATTCAGATTATATTAATATAGTACAGTACCTTCAATTTGCTGAATCCATATTGCTACCTATTGTCTATGGGATCCACCTTTACATTCATCATAAATGTAACAATATTTTCAAAAATTTTTAAAACACTGTTAGGTCTAGATGACGGGCAGGCTCATCCGATTGCCCTTTCGATTTATTTATTTATTTCATTTATTAATATCTTATTATTCCCAAACTTAGTGACAAGCCTGCATGCTGAAGGAGAGACGATAGAGGAAAGCTAACTCACTCGATACTGACCGCTGAGATGGAGCATCTCCGCGGTCAAGTGCACAAGAGTAATTTCTTCATCGTGATTCACAAGCAAAACCTTCGTATGTGACAAGAAAACTCTGGAAGGTTAAGAATGAATAAGAATTTGACATGTTACAGCGTTTCAAGTTAGTTTTCAAAGTTTAGATGACATTACATGGTTTTAAATGTCTTTAACAGCTTATGAATACATGTTGTCTATCACAGTGAGGTGTTCAAAGGGTCTCTGGAGATATTTTAGTGTTAACTGAATGAGTTATGATACAATAAAGAACAAATAGTAGATGTAGGCTACTGGAAGACAAAGTTTATTATTATTATTTTTGTATTAAGTAGATACCCGGTACTGTACCTATTTTAAGGATTAAAGTCTCGCAACTTTTTACCTGCCTTGTAAGAATAAAACTTACATTGGAAGCTTCAGAGTTTTATTGGAAAAAATGATTAATAGAGTAGTATACTTTTTATTAAATGTGTAGACATCAACCAGTACAAGAATGTGACGAAAAACCTACTGTTATGGAAGTGCTGAGAAAGATGTTGAAATGTGGAAAGAAAATGTAAAAAAAAAATATTGATGTAGAATGAAGCTAGTTTGAAGATAATGGCAGACACCAAATGCTGTAAAATAAATTAATAATTAAACTAATATGATGATAAACATACAATACTAGTAACAATAACTACTAAGAATAATTATGATAATTGTATAACTAAGAAATTATAGCTCTAATGTACACACAAAACAGTACTGTATTCATTGGGGCAATGATAATCTCTTTCTGAAAAAGTGATTTTCTTTGTCTCCTGAATGATAATTATGTATCAATATAATTTATGTCACTTGTTTACTGGTTTACTGCACCATTCACATAATGTAACACGGCTGTAGTTATCAAATATTAATGTTTGTCTCAAGTTCATATACTGTACAAGCTGTACTGTTCTGTAAACAGTTTCTTTTCATTTTAGATGTCTATATCGTCCCATTCTGTGTGTCATTTACATTGTATTTTTTTCATATTCTTAATGTAATGATAATAAAATATCATACTATACATGTATTTTGTATTGCTACCTTAACCAACTCAGTAAATCTATAAAATTTGGCGGCCGCAATAACGATTAAAACGGACCAGTAGATGCCGGGTTACTGGCAGGTGAAGACTAAATAGAATTCTCAAATCTTTCTTAATTGTTGATGAACTACTGTAATTACTTAACTTAAATATCGTAGTTGTTGAAGGTTAGTGATAACATTATGATGTTAACGAGGGTCAGGTGACTCAGGTAGTACAGTAGGTGTAGTAGGCAGCTACCAAACAGGGAGGTACTACCGCCTGGGAAGATATTGGAAGCATAATGTATTGTCCAATGGTAGACCCTGCTGCCATATGTGACCAAGTCCCAGGTTGATGATCAGACTTTCTACCTCACTGTTACACAATTACAGGGTCTCATTTGTTTCTCTTTGACAACACAATATACAGTAGGCTACATAATGCATATCTTTTTTCACTCGATTTTTTTCGTTTTTGTATTTATTTGTGGTTATTATTATTTTGATTATTTTATTTTATGACTTTTTATTAATCTTTATTAATTATAATAATAATAGTAATAATGATTATTATTATTATTATTATTATTATTATAGTTATTGTTACTATTATTAGTAGTAGTTTTATAATCATAATAATAGTTATTATTATTATTATTATTATTATTATATTTTTCGTCCCCATCTTTGACATCTTCAACACAATTGTTTGTTTACTAGCACCTCGTGACGTCATCAAAGCTGGCAGTTACCGCCGTGTCATAACCTTCACTATTAAACAAGTACGTTATATATTGCTGTGCCTTTGTTACATTGACATTATGATATATTAAGCGTATGGTGAAGTAGAGTTTGATATAATGTGATAATAAGGCTGTGTTTTGAAATTGTCATTCTATAAATGGCTGAAATCAAAATTTGTGTTTTGGCGGTAATTGAACGTTGCCAGTAGTACACTGTGATAAACACTTAAGTGTCTATTATTCACAGTTCAAAGTCTATGAAGCTTTAATTAAAGGGTTAGTTGGACTGGATTTACTCATATTAACCAACATAACTGATTAAGGTGTATGACTATCGCAGCAGAAGTTAACCTGAGAATATTGTAGTGGGCTGAGGGAGAACCACATTTGAAAATTATAGATGTTTACTCAGATTTTTTTTTAGGGCTGTTATTAAGTTGAAGATCTTAAGCTTCTACATTACTGAAGATTGTTAGATCAATGTGAGAAACTGCCGCCACGAAACTAACTCTGGTTGTAATCATCAAGAACAGGGATTTGCTTGAGGTAAGAAATGACTTGTGTTGGTTAATATATAGGACTAACCTGCGAGCGAGTTATTTTTATTACTGTTTATTTTCTTACATTATTTTCATCAGTGAGTTGTGATATGATAATCATTTCTTGTGGAAGTTGTTCATTTCGTGGATGATTAGGCGCCAAGGCTCGCACTGGTTTGTCTTGCGTGTCTTGTCCGGTGGTAATGAGGCAGCGCTCAAGAAAGGAGTCTCGTCTCTTCCCCGCGGCAGTTTCATTTTTAGCATGACATGTGAAGGTTGTCGTCGGTCTTATCTGGATGTAATTTGCGAATTTAGGGATAAAGACAACGAGACCCTAAAGTTTTTCAAAGACCACGGCATCGTTCCTGTATGTATATTATGTATGCTGTATGTATACTATGTATGTAACCCATTTATGTACATTACTTCTCTAGTCAGTAGCATGTGGCAATGCCCCTGTTTCATGTCACCACACGCTTAGATAAATGTGCCTGGCGACATCTGGAAGCTGCTAATGTACCACTTACCACGTGTCGCCTGAGAGGTCAGAGAGAGGTCAGTTGACCCATATAGGAGTGTAAGGACTACCCGCGCTTGTAAGCGCACTCCTGTATATTTCCGTTAATAAGAACCTACAGAACTCTACAGGTGTTTATGTTCTCTCCTGTAGTTAGAACCAAGTACCCCGAACATCTCCAGTTCCTTTAAGTAGAAAGTATTATCACAGCAATACTGTGAAATTGAACTGGGTTTGTATGCTAAGTCAGTCGTTGTTTGGAAACAATCATCCATCACTTCATCGACGCTGTGGCTCGCGATTCCCGCCATCTCAATAAGAAATCACTCCACTGCCTGGGCTCAGTAAGCGCCGATACATCTCACGTCCAGAAAATGCCTCAAATTTCAACATATCATAGTAAGTTCTTTCTGTTTAATATACTTCCCCCCGGTAAGAACGCTTCTTGTTGATATTCTTCTTTACTATATTCACAGTTAATACAGTGGGGTATGCTATAATGAACGGATCCTGCTACAAATATTCCTATAACGAACGGTTTTACCTATAAAATTGAGAATGCTATAACGAACGAAACTCCTACAACGAACATTATTTAATTTTTTTTTTTTTTTTCTAATTTATTGTTTTTTTATTACAAATATTAATGACATTCTTTATTTCAGGGGTTTAGATGCATATTTATGCACTTTTTTACAATTTTTACAATTTTATATTATATTTTTCAGTGTTAAGTGGTTGTATTTGGGGGCCTGGAACGGATTAATCCTATAACGAACGAATGCTATAACGAACAAGGTTCTAGAACCAATTAGATTCGTTATAGCATACCCCACTGTACCACAAAATTGGAGAAATAGTAAGCAAAAATCGCGTTATAGCAAACAAGCGTTCGCGTTATACAAATATCGTTCCTAATTCATAAATCGCGTTAGAGCAAATTCGCGTTATCAAAACACGCGTTATAGCAGAACTCACTGTACTGTAATAAAAGTAATATTAAAAATAATATACTTCCATCTTAAGATGAGTAAGTTTTGTTGGTTCATGTTATCTATGGTAAATCATAATACTGTACAGTACTGTATAGTACTGTACTGTATAATGTAATTATGCTCATAGACGATTTTCAGGTATAGGCTTTTCTCTGTCAGTGTTTGTGTGTATGGCATTTAAAGGTATTCTATTCTCTCTTTTGTATGTGAAGTCCTCACGTACCTGCACCAGTTTCGTGGCTCTCCCTTGGATGTTTTCAATGAATTGGCAGTCTTTAGCTTACCGTTATCTTAGGCACCAGACAGAATGATAGTACGGTACTGTACTGTTCCTCAAGTGAGATCATACAACTGAAACGCCATGTACTATGTACCGTGTAGTAATGTAGATGTGTAAATTGTATTAAATGTGTGAGTTACTTCACAGTCTAATTTTTATTGTGTCTGTATTCACCAGCAATGGGCCAGGAGTTATACGTTTTGCGGTGCTACTCATGCTTGGCGTTCCAGTCACATCAAGTACGGAAGGATAGAAAATTTGTTTGTAAGGTGTGCGGAGCAAAGCAGTCAGTTAAAAAGGTAAATATTTTATTTTATTGAATACTCTTTACTTAAACAGTGAATATTCAGTAACTTGGAATATACAATACTGTAGTACTCTGTATTTTAGGAAACTTTCAAAATATTGTTAAATCCCCAAATTGAGGTATAGTATGGTGGTTAATTTATATTGTTGAATAATATAATTTGATCCTCTGTATTGTTTGGCAGGTTGCACCAATGGTAAAACTTGATCAGTGTTTTGTACAAAGTGTTCATAAAATTATTGATAACCTAAGAGGTTATGAACAGTCCTCAGTGTGAATTATTTTAACTGGAGAGATATTCACATTTATAAACAGTAGGACCTTGTATAATGCCAGGTTATATCCACTGCATTGTAAGAAGATGTGTTATATGCACACTTAAGAAGAGAAAATTTATCTTTTGTTCTTGAAAGTACTGTAGCCATGTTATCATCCCAAAGAGGGGGTTATATGTTGTCAGGGATAAGTAAACCTTCAAAAAATCTGATAATAACACAGTTCACGATTTTAAGATAAAGGAAACAAGTAAATTCAGTTTGTAGTCAATAGTGAATAAATGGTAGTACAGTGACACATGACGACAGATGTGCAAGGTTAGGTAGGTGATGGTAGATGGTGGGACAGGTGAGAGAATTGTTATCTCTACACCAGCAAGCAGTATTCCTGATATGTTTAATTTGTTGCAGCATTTTTTTTGTACAGTATAGAACTAAATGCTTATTTGTGTTTCATTTTTTTATTTTTGTTTAAAGGAAAATTTAATATAGTCATGAGACTTACCGTAAATCACATTTCTTCATATCAGAATTATGGTCAGGGAACAGGTAAAGACTGCCGAAACCATGTGCAAAAACTCAACATGTTAAGAGGAACTTTTGAAATAGAACAAGAAAGAAGAATAGAATCTCAAATTAATGAAAATGAGAAGGCTGCAGAGTTGCCTTGGGAAGATTCAACTTACAATAGTGCCATGTTTATTACCACAAGCAACATAAATAGTCACCTCAGTGATGAAAGCTTTGGGGACAGTGAAACAAACAGAATCAGCAGTGCAGGTGAGAGATGTTTAAGGTATTTTAATTTTTTGTCCTGTGAGTCATTTAACAGCTTACCAACCAGAATATCCCTGGCAAAACCTGACTTTATTTAGGAGTTAAAGACTGCCTTCAGAAAACCCTTTGCAACTTTAGGGATGTCTGTATTTCACAAATCTTCATCATTATATTTTGTAAACTTCTTATTGCAGTGTACAGATGGCTTCCCTCAATTTACAAAAGGGTTCCATTCTTGAAAACCATTTATAAATTGATCCTGTGTTTACATTGAGGCAGGGATAACTTTCTCCAAAGCAATGTGTTACAAAAACCAAGGTCCCTTAGAGAAAGTGTGCGTAAATTTTGTATTGCCTGGCCCAGACACACATGGGAAGGTTTCCTCGGGGTACTGTACTCCAATTTCCTCATGTTCTAACACTGGATTGACCAACCACCCGGACAACTAGGAAGCTGATGAGTGGTGAAATAATAAATAACCAATAAACAAATCGATAAATAAACAGTTGAATTAAGTGAGGTTTGGTTGTTTCACGTACAATATGTCATTATTGATTGTGTACTGTACTGTATACTCATTCTATGTTTGCTCCAAAAAGTATCTTAACAATTTTGTGTGAGACAATATGACAGAATGGAATTTTTTATGTTCAAGGGTCCTCTTGCTTGAATTGATATGCCATTACAACATGTAGACCCTTTATTATTATTATTATTATTATTATTATTATTATTATTATTATTATTATTTTGGTACAGTGGGGTATGAGCTATAATGAACGGATTCTACAACGAACATTCCTATAACAAACGGTTTTACCTATAAAATTGAGAATGCTATAACGAACGAAACTCTTACAACGAACAGTATTTTTTTTTTTTTTAATAATTTATTGTTTTTTATTACAAGTATTAATGATATTCTTTATTTCAGGGGTTTAGATGCATATTTATGCACTTTTTTACAATCTTTACAATTTTATATTATATTTTTCAGTGTTAAGTGGTTGTATTTGGGGGCCTGGAATGGATTAATCTTATAACGAACGAATGCTATAACGAACAAGGTTCTAGAACCAATTAGATTCGTTATAACATACCCCACTAACAAATTTACTGCATTAGAATTTTGCATTATGTATCCATAGCTTGAGGGAGAAGCAGGGCCCCACTTGAATTAGAGTTTTGTGTTCTTAACTCAGTGGATCTGAAATCAGTGCTATGTCAACACCTTGAATCATGAATAAAAGGATAAGACATAATCAACCCTAAAGTATCCCCCCCATTGCTGTACGTGATCATAAAACACAAAAATGTATCAACAGGTGATTCAGCTATGGCATCCAGTACGTGTTGTGTTTCTGGCTCAAGAAGCAAGTGGTCAAGCTATGTGACAACTGAAACAGATGACTCTGATGATGATACTGTGGCTGGCCCAGCACCTGATACTTCTTTCAGGTACACTTTAACTTCAAAACTGTTTATGGCAAACTCGTTTATTATCATTACAGTACAGTGTATTAGGGCATACAGTACTGTACTGTACTCAGTGTTTACCACCCTGCCATTTGAATCTGTTGGTCACCCTCTGTACTTTGCCGTTATCCTTCGTTTAACCGTTAACGATACAGTAGTTTCGCCTAACGTAAGGTTTTCAAGAATGTCATCCCCATCGTTAAACGATGGATACCTGTATACAGTATATAGGGAGGATTCACTGTACAGTTTACCTGTTTATAGCAAAGTGTGGTACAGGTATGTCACTAATAATGTTGATTGCCAGGACTGTCACTAGGAGGAGGGATATTTGGTCAGGAAAGCAGCTTTATGCTTCAATCTTTAATATACCTGTATTTTAAAAATGTCATTATCTGTGTGTAAAGGCCTAGGACTTAGGGATAGAAATCCCTTACCAGGCTAATCAGGATCTTAATAAAGGAAAGTCAAGGACCATGGTTTTCCGAGGAATAACAAACAACCGTTAGAGATTGGCATCTCTTTACTATAAAAATATAACACAAAACTCTGACACCACTCAACAAACATCAAATAATTACGGGAGTCAAACAATTAATGGAAGCAAACAATTAAAGGAATCAAACAAATAATGGGAGTCAGCAATTAATTGAATCAAACAATTAAATGGAGTCAACAATTGATAGAATCGAACAATAAAGGGGAGTCAGCAATTAATGGAATCAAACAATGAACAAATATTTCCTACGGCAGTGGCCCTGGGGAAGGTTCTGGAACGCGGTGATGCACACTCAGGGCAGGGAAGCGTCCACTTCGCTCCACACTCAGCAACGTCTTGAAAAGGCAGGAGAACACCGGGGCACCGACGGAATGTGATGAACTGATGGTCGTGGTATGCGGTAGTGGTAGATGACCAGAGAGTTGGCAGTTGATAGGTGAAGGTCTGGGAACACAGCCCACGAGTCCAGGACCTATGATGAGATCACAGCCAGAATTTGACGGACAGCAGGGTAGCTAGATACTGACGGTATGGCGGCTGGGTTGAATCTGCCGTGGCGGAGATAGTCGCTGCCGTTATCACCTCCGTCCAACCACCCCAAGTGTCGTCTGCACCAGCAAACGAGCGAGTTAGCAGCGGTAACTAGCCGGAGGATCGTTTCCGCCCTTACACTGCTCCCCCAACAAAAATCTACTGTAAGGTAGATTAAAACTTAAGATTAGTACACAAAGCATAATCATCTTACAACAAATGCTTAAATACACATTGCACAATAAAGAAGGGTCATAGAAAAGAATAGGTGGAAAACTTGATGTCCAAAACGTAAGGCCGTATCAAGGAACTGCATGTGGGGTCCAGTTCAGTCGTAGAGGATTCTTCTATCTCGTCAGGTGTTGGCAGCAACTGGCAACCGAGATCAACAGACTCTGGCGTCTGAACTCCACAGGAACTCTTGCAGGGTAGTGCCTCGACTAACTCCAGCTTGGGGACGTCGTCAAGGACACGAGCAATGTGGGTCCTGCAATTATATTGCTTTAACAAATTAGCTTGATGTAATTTAGTCTTCTTAGAGGAAGGGGGTGAGAATCGTCCAACAAAATCTATGGCTACCCGAGAAGATGGTTCTGCAACGACGGGTAAGGGTTCAAGTGGAACAGGACGGACTCTACCCTTGGCGGACATACGTGGACACTGATCACAATTCCTACAAAAAGCTCTAATATCCGCTCCCATACCTGGCCAGTAAAACTGATCAGCAACCTTCCTATAAGTTTTCCTACGAGAACAGTGACTTACAAGACAGCTCTTGTGAGCTACAGAGAGAATGTTACTACGACAAACAGCAGGGACAACAAGTAAAAACCGACCTACTTTAGCTGGTCGCTTGGATGAAACACAAGACCTGTGTAACACCCCATTAATAGAAACAAACTTATAAACCGACCCATCTCTCACCTGATCCTCCTCCCCGGAAGTCACCTTCTCCCTTACCCGCTTCAGAGTGGCACACGAGTCTTGAAGCTTGGCGAACTCCTTGGGCGTCACAGTCAGTGGCAACAAATTCGGCAGAATCAGGGGATGCGGTCGTTTCACCTTCGCCGTCCGTGGCCCTACAGCTTGGACCTTGGCGGCAGGCGTGGCGGCGTGAGAGGGTGGCGAGGCGACCTCGGCAGGTGGCGAGTCGTCATCAGCAGGTGGCGTGAGGACTGGTGCTGGTGGTGAGGAGACTGGTGCTGGTGGCGAGGAGAGTTTTAACGTTTCCGGGTCGTTAGGGTCACGAACACCGGGAACATTACCAATGAGGGCACTTGCACATTTAATGGGAGCTCTTACCACATTAGACCAACCAGTGAAATAGGGGCAACGCAGGTAGCACCTAACAACAGGGAACTGGTCAACACGACCTAAATAATCGGCGACACTAACCTTCGGGCAGCTGGAGATGTCAGCGTCAGGCAGGGCTTCTTCAGAGACAATAATGCACGAGCAACCAGTGTCCTTGATGAAAGTAGATGCCCTAGACCCATTGATTGTTCCACTGACACAATAACGGGGGCAGCTCCTGACCTCCAAACAGAATCCGACCTTGTTGCTGGGTTGAGTGTCAGCAGTCTTGAAGGCGAGGGGATTCCTGGGACAGCGAGAACGAATGTGCCCTTCTCCTCCGCAGCTGTGACACCGCACGGCTGGTGAACTACTCTTGTGTACTCCTGGGGATGGTTCCTCGGAGGACGGAGGCTTCGCAATCTTCACTACAGGAGGGGAAGACTTGGGGTAGGCGTTGCGAGCAGACGCCCAGTTGTCGGCAAGATGCACAGCTTCTCCAAGCGTCGCTGGCTGGTGTTCTTTGATGAAAATTCTCAAGTCTGGAGGTAGAGAAGACAAAAACTGATCTAATATCATGAAGTTAGAGAGAGACTCAAAGGTTTCTTCAACCCCTGATGTCTCCAGCCATTGTTGAAACAAACGACCCAGGTGAATCGAAAACTGCTGGTACGTTTCTCCCTCTCTAATCTTCGTTCTGCGAAAATCAGCACGATAACCGTCAGAAGTCTTGCAAAATCCTCGCAAGAGAGCTTGCTTCAACAAGAAGTAATCTCGGGTGATGTCGGCAGACAGGGACGTGTAAATTTCTACCGGCTTACCACTCAGTAGGCTACCCAACCTTACAGCATAGCTATCTGGGGCTACACCAAGCAGCTCAGCTACCCGCTCAAACCTAACAAGGTAGGAGGCGATGTCTTCTCCTTCACGGTACACAGGCAAGCTGGGTTTTACCACATTGTCCTGTATATGGCCAGAGGAGGCTGGTCTACTTGAAGCATTAATCCTAGCCAGTTCTAGGTCCTTTTCTGCCTGCAACTTAGCTAATTCGAACTCTCTTCTTTCTGACGTTCCTCCACCTCTCTCTCTTTCTGACGTTCCTCTCTCGCTCTCTGACGTTCCTCTCTCTCGGCATTCTGTTGGGTGACCACATACTGACCAATGTCATTACCTGTCAGACCCAGGGCCACCGCTTGACCTTTCCACACATCAAAAGCAGACATAATGATCCAAAAAGGCCAAGAACAAAGGAAAAAAACAAACAACTTACCCCGCAAATAGCCAAAGGTAACTCACCTAGTGGCTCAATCAGACCAGTAAATGATTTGATCCGACTGGAGGGAACCTCGTTCCGCACCCAGCCCAGCTGAATCACCTCAGGGTAACGAAACCGCACCAGGTGAAACAACAACATATATGCTATGACAGCATCCACAGTGCACCCCAACCAACACTAATTAACTTCCCCAAGCACAAGGGAGAGCAACAAAATTAGCACACAGAAGGAAGGGATAACCACTGAACAACACTTGCTTCCGGGCCACAGACAGCAAGGTGGCGCGCTCACGGCGACTTACAACAACACCGGAACGAATGTTAAACCTCAGAAACCAAAGGTCAGAGACAATCCTGGCAAGGTCGCCACTTGTAAAGGCCTAGGACTTAGGGATAGAAATCCCTTACCAGGCTAATCAGGATCTTAATAAAGGAAAGTCAAGGACCATGGTTTTCCGAGGAATAACAAACAACCGTTAGAGATTGGCATCTCTTTACTATAAAAATATAACACAAAACTCTGACACCACTCAACAAACATCAAATAATTACGGGAGTCAAACAATTAATGGAAGCAAACAATTAAAGGAATCAAACAAATAATGGGAGTCAGCAATTAATTGAATCAAACAATTAAATGGAGTCAACAATTGATAGAATCGAACAATAAAGGGGAGTCAGCAATTAATGGAATCAAACAATGAACAAATATTTCCTACGGCAGTGGCCCTGGGGGAAGGTTCTGGAACACGGTGATGCACACTCAGGGTAGGGAAGCGTCCACTTCACTCCACACTCAGCAACGTCTTGAAAAGGCAGGAGAACACCGGGGCACCGACGGAATGTGATGAACTGATGGTCGTGGTATGCGGTAGTGGTAGATGACCAGAGAGTTGGCAGTTGATAGGTGAAGGTCTGGGAACACAGCCCACGAGTCCAGGACCTATGATGAGATCACAGCCAGAATTTGACGGACAGCAGGGTAGCTAGATACTGACGGTATGGCGGCTGGGTTGAATCTGCTCGTGGCGGAGATAGTCGCTGCCGTTATCACCTCCGTCCAACCACCCCAAGGGTCGTCTGCACCAGCAAACGAGCGAGTTAGCAGCGGTAACTAGCCGGAGGATCGTTTCCGCCCTTACACTGTGTATTCGTTTGAACTACACCTCCATTCTTTATGTTTTATACAAGCATCTGTGTACCATTTCACCTCTTTTCTTTCTGATCTCCGATTACTTTGTCAATTCTTGAAACCTCGCCATATCTTTAAGACTGCTGTTAACTTCATGCATCTTTATACTCTTTTCATATTTCTTGTAATAATGTATATTATCTTGGAGAGTATTATCCAATCCTGAAAATTTTTTTTTTTTTTACAGACTAGAGATTCAACGATGCAAAATATATTAATTTAAGATTTATAAATTATATCATTATACTGTATGTACAGTAGAGTACTGTTCATTGCATTATTTCAGACACAGCAATGGCATAAAGGAAGATCTGGATGCTGGGTTTGACCATGAGTCACCAGAGGTCACTCAGAAAAGAAAATGGAAACAGAAGACTCACCAAGGACCTACAAGAAGCCATATCAACAGGAGAGAACTTATGAGGCAGGATAACTGGTCTTCCAGGCCTTATCCAGGAAGTTTAGTTAATATTAGTGGAAGGAAACTAGATGTTGGTGTACAGGCTTCAAAGGGAGGAAATTCAGAAAGACTAGACCCTTTAGAGAACTGGTCCATTAGATTAGGTGGGGAGCAAAACCTAATCATGAATAAAAGAGACAGCACATCTTCCAGAGGGGTTCCCAGGTCTTCATCTGAGTCGTTATTGGAAAGTACAAGAAAGTTTGGGGAAAGAGAAGAGGAAGTAATGAGAGGTACAAAACATTTACCCATCAGGAATGCTACCAACTGCAAAATAGACCAAAAAGCATATTTTGGAAACAGTGATGAGAATTCTGACAAGAATTGTAAAACAAGGATTCAATATCAACATAATTCTGATAAGGTATTAGAAGAGTCACTCGAACCTGGTGTTACAATTCACTCAAAAGAAAATTCAAAGGAATGTGGACAGACCCAACATGGAATTTTGAAAATAGATCATGTATCAGGGTATGTTAGTAAGGAAACGTCATGTGATTATCAAATGGATAGAAATATTCTGTCTGTTCGAGATACTTCACCGAATAAAGACACATATCCAATACCCAAAATAAACCAAATGCTAAATAGAAAAGGCATCACACAACAAAATAATCCAACCACTGTAGACAAGATGCATGTTAAAGAAATGCAATTTACACCATCTGTGAAAGTGGTAAACTGTCCAGCAATGAAAACTACCATTAATAAACCATTAGACAGAGGAAAGCAATCTTCAGTAAATATTTTTGCTAAGAATTTGAAGGGATTCAGTTCAGCTTTATCACAGCTGAACTCTGGACTCGGTAAACAAGGAACATTTCACGCTGAGGCAACTTACAACAAGTATGAAGCAGCAGAGGAGTTTGAGGATATCGTTAATTTTGATCTGTAGTAATTTTACTACAAATTGATATGTCTTATTATGGAGAATTATAGGGTAATATTTTTTTCTCCCATTGATATTATTTTCCTTTTATTTTATTTAGTCACATTTCACCATTTAGTTGTATACTTCCTGTTTTATTTCCATATAATTGTCACTATTTTTATTAATGCTGTTTATCTTTTTTTATTCATCATCTTTTTTTTTCTTCCCCACTTGGTTATACAGTACTGTACTTTCAAAGGCAATCTTTCTCCTCTTCAGTTATTTCTTATTGAAGTAAGTACAGGTAAGTGGAAACTTCTGTACTACAGTTGTGTGATAAAAAAACTAGCTTATAGAATTTTGCCTCAAATGAGGCTACGGGGTTGAACATATGAGGCGCTCAGCATTTGAAGGTGGTGAAGCGCCAAATATTTAAAAGCGGAGAAAAACGCGTTTGAAGTTTTTCGAAGTTCAAACAACCATAATTCTTTTGTTTTTAAGCTAGATGGTTCTTTTTTTCTTTTTCTTTTTTATCGTGCAGCTCAATCCCTCTCCTAGCGAACTGTGAAAACTGGAAGTTAGTACTGTGAATAGTTATTATTTTATGACAAATTGAATGACAATAACTACCCGTCATGTATGGTTGTTTGATCTTCAAACCAACAATAATTGCATTTTTCTGCTAAATTTTCTTATTATTGTGGGCTAATACTGTAAAACAAGTTAGTGGTCACCAAAAACAGCACTTGTCTGACCCCCCTCATAACCCCCAACCCCCCCAAAAGTGAAATAATAATAAAAAACTCATTTGCCTATAAGTATTTATCTTTCCGTCCTTATTATTAACCAAAGATCTATAATATTGTCAAGTATAATAGTGTGTATTAATAAGGAAACACCACTACACTCCCACCCATTAACCCCCCCCCCCAACGTAATTAACATAGGAATACAAAAGCGGAGAAAGTTTGCATAATCTTCTTTTATTATCCTTGAAGATCATAGTTAAGTTGAAGTTACGTAAATCCTGAAGAGTGTGTATAACTTTAATGGCCTTGTCATGATCAAATTACATTTATGCTTGGCAACCTCCTGTGCCCACTCGCCAACCCTAGGCTGTATCATCCTGCCTTTTTTTTCAATAGGGTCTTGGGTGGGTATGCTCCTGACCCCTGCAATCTGCATCATGTGGTGCTCTACCACCAACACTAGGCTCCCCAACATCACAAAGTAGCTCATCACCAAAATTCTCATGCATGTCACCTGCACCATCGCCAGTAGCACTTGCTTCACCAAAATCACTATCACCATACATGGCTGGGGTGTCCACGTGAGCACTGTCGTTACTAAACACACGCTCAGGAGATTTAGGGCGCCTGAACCCACACCAGAAGGCCTGGCCTCACTCGAGTCTTGCTCTAATATCGGACAGATATTGCACAGCACTTCTCACACCCGTGGAACATAAATAACGTCAATGTTACGCCAAAAGGTTATAAAAAATGGCCGTAGAAAGTACATTGAACCGCCTTATTCTATACAACTTGCCAAAACTAACAAAGAGGCAGTATCTGGGCGCGTGGATTGGCCGAGGAGCTGTGACGTAGCAAGGGAAATCAATTGCAATTGGCTGACTCGGGGTATGGTCCTCTGGAGGCGCGCTGTCATTGGCTCGCACTCCTCTTACTCTGAACAGGATGTAGCCACCTTCATTTACTGAGTGCACAGCCAGATACGTAGCTCCCAGCCCGAGGCAAAATGACAACGTATTTTTTAAGGACTTTCAACCATATTTCTACTCTAGCTAGGGGGCTACATCCAATGCCATCATGTAGAGGAAGGGTGAAAATAGTAATATCCATCAAAAAACGCATTTTGCCCGAGGTGGTGCTTCATCCCCTTCTAATGCCGAGCACCCTTTATCTATTCCTGAAATGTTCCGAGAATATGTTACATATGGCTACCCTCAGAGAAGGGTATTTCATTGAGGAACAAGGGTGTCAATTTGTATTATCTACAAATTTTGTCTGGTTATATACTGTACTTACCCGTTGATGTTGAGTGATGGCTAAGGGAAGTTTTTTCAGACAGATTAACTATTTATATTTCTTTGTTTATATTATAATAGGAAAGGGAGTTTTTTACTAAACAAATACTGTACAATTATATTAGTTTGTGAATTGAAAAAAAAATTACCATAAAAGTAGAATCATAGACTGCACTTAGTTAAAAGGAATTTATTATATAGAAGTAAAAGAGTACAGTAATGGGAGAAAGAACTCTCACTGATAAATCAACTTCAAGAATTGTCTGCATAAATTCCAAGTGCTGAAGTATTGTGTGAATTATAGGTATTTCTGATTTACTTATCATGATTTAATGTTAAGTTATATGTGAGTTTTCCCTTATTGATCTTTACCATTATACAGTAACAACACCTAAGTTTGTGGAAGTTAAAGTTGTTATACAAGTCCTAGTGAACAGTACAGGAAACAGTGGTTTGTGGTATAGATCCTCTCCCCCCCCCCAAAAAAAAAGATCACAATTTCATTGTACTGTAGTAAGGATCAAGTACACTTGTTGTATGCTTAAAATATCGAAGAAAATTACTTTACAATATATGTTTTATATTATTTTAAGCCTTTTACTACTTACTGTATGCTGAAATATGAATCTAACTCAAGTTTTATGCTAACAATACCCATTACTGTATACAGGTACATAGCAAGCCATAGTTGTTGTATTAACCAGATATAAATATTTTTACTTGATTTGTGTTCATTAATGATATTGTTACGACCTAAGGGTAAATCGTTACTTAAACACAAAATCACTTAAGTCTTTCAAATTATCAGTATTTATTATTATATTCTTAATCCCAAGTTCTCCCAACAAAGGTCACGTTAACAGGTCAAACCTAAACAAGTCAATAAAAATATGAACATTTATTAACTTATTCCCTATTCATTGTTATTTAAGGTCACAAGAAGTTTCCAAATGTTATTATATTTGCTTAAATAATGAAGAAAATATATTAATGACTTGGAAACTCGACTACAGCGAGGAACGAGGGCTGCCCAAGATTCTCAGATCAAATTTTCTTCATTATTTAAACAAATATAAGAACATTTGGAAACTTCTTGTGACCTTAAATAACAATGAATAGTTTATTATTATAATAATTCTTCCTTTGGATTGTTTAATATTTATCCTGACAGTGGTACAGCAAAAAATAGATCCACCAATCACAATCACCTTTACATACAACCTTTCTTTACCAACTATTGCCAGGTAAAATTGCAAGCACGAGACCCAGGGTGGGGTCGGTGCATCTTTGGCTGACTGTACATAAAATAAAATAAATAACAATAATAATAATACGACAAGATGTTTGGGAGTGGCTGCGTAAGGACTGAAGGCCCAACAAGATCACACAAAATCGATATCGAGCAAAACAAATCTCAATAGTCAAATACCAACCCCCAAAACACCAGAGAGGGTATACTACTTAACTTAAGACAGCTGTGCCTAGCCTGACTAAAGTGTACCAGTAGGTCACCGAAGTCACCTCTCTACCGCCAAATACCGACGTACATACTATATCCCGATTGGCCAAAACGTAAACTTTATCAAAATTACTTATCGACATAAGTTCCACTTATCTAACCTTCCCGGTATATACAAACCTAATACAATAAAATATAATATACCCAAACATAATGTAGAATAAATACACAAAGAAATAAACAAAGTTAATATTTAAATGATGAATCATTCAGTGTGGACGAGTAATGAGCGAAACTGCTCGAGCAAACCACACACCATCAGAACCAACATATTTCATACCAAGAACAGAAACTTATGGCGGACGCTCCTAACATCCCCCTCCTTATCAAAAAAGTTTACGAACAAAGGAGAAAACTGTTATACATCACGTGATAGGGTGTCTGCCAATTGATTGTCTCCCTTTAATATGTTCACTTCTATATTGAAGGGCTGCAGTGCTAAAGCCCACCTAAGTAATCTTGTATTTTTATTTCTCATCTTCTGTACAAATTGTAAAGGATTATGATCTGTGTATACCTCTACGGTATATGGTGAACCCTCAACGTACACTGCAAATTTTTCTAAAGCCAACAAAAGCCTCAAAGCCTCCTTTTCTATCGTGGCATAACCATGTTGATGTGGTTTTAGTTTCACACTGGAAGCAAACTGGGTGTAGTATACCTTTTTCATACTGCAGCAATACAGCACCCACACCCACATAACAGGCATCATTTTTAATCACGAAAGGCTTGTCAAAATCTGGCACTTTTAACACTGGACTTTAGGTTAACAGGTGTTTTATTGTTTCAAATGCAGCCCGACATGCTTTTGTCCACAAATACCTTCTTTTTGGGCAGACTAAGTCTGTCAAAGGAGCCAACATTTGCACAAAGTTCTTGAAAAACCTTCTGTAGAATCCTGCCATACCAAGGAACCTACGCAGAGCCTTTCGATCTGCAGGAGGTGGGAATTGCTGTTGACTGGAGCCACCATCCCTTGGCCCACCACATGGCCAAGGTAGGTGAGAGTTGCATGGCCAAACTCACTTTTTAGCCAGGTTGACAGTGAAGTTGTAGTCCGAAAGGCGGGTAAAAAGGGCACGAAGTCGCTCCGTGTGTTCCTCCCAAGTAACTGCTGTCACTAGCAGGTCATCCAAGTAGGCACAGCCACTAGGAAGCCCAGACTTCACCACATTCATAGCCCTCTGGAATGTCCCAGGGGCACTGCGAAGCCCAAAAGGGAGGAATGTGTACTGCCAAAGCCCATCAGGAGTGACGAAGGCAGTACAGTAATTCTTTTGGATTCCTCCATCACATTCACTTGATAGTACCCCTTCATCAGGTTGAGCTTCATGATGAACTTTGCTTGCCCGATGCTGTCAAGGATGTCATCTATACTAGGGAGAGGGTAGGAGTCAGCCCTGGTCACATCATTTACCTGTCTGTAGTCTGTAAACATGCAGAAGGAGCCGTTGGGTTTAGACACCAACTCACATGACGACGCCCAGTCACTGTCGCTTGGTTCGAAGAGTTCGTGTCGAAGCAGACAGTCCACTTCCCACAGAATCTTCCTCTTGGCAGGGTTGTTTCCTAAAGGGTGCTTGCTTGATAGGGGTTGTCTCTGGAAGAAGGGTCACCTGGTGTTCTACTAGGTTACAGGCCCACGGCACATCCCCAAACTGGTGCTTGTA